TTTGTTTTGGTGTGTGTGTTTGTGTGTGTGTGTGTGTTCGTGTGTGTGTGTGTGTTTGGGTGTGTGTGTGGTGGGGTGTGTGTGTTTTGTGGTGTGTGTGTGTGTGTGTGCGTGTGTGTGTGTTTTGTGTGTGTTGTGTGTGTGTGTGGGGTTTGTGGTGTGTGTGTGTGTGTGTTTGTGGGGTGTGTGTGTTTTGTGTGCTTTGTGTGTGTGTGTGTGTGTGTGTGTGTGTGGTTTTGTGTGTGGGGTGTGTGTGTGGGGTGTGTGTGTGTGTGTGTGTTGTGTGCATCTTGGGAGCTACAGGAACAAAATGAATTACTGAAGTGCTGAAAAATTTGTCGCTGCTGTGCGCACACGCCTGTACACGGCCAGCCAAAACACACACACACACACACACACACAAACACACACACAGCTCATGGAGCAGGGAGAGAGTGGACCTAGTAGCGACCAGTGAAGAGGGGGGGCCAGGACCCAATGAATCGACCCCTGCAGCAAAATTAGGTAAGTACAATTAGGTGAGAACATACACACATATTTATGATCAGGTCAAACACGTTAATTATAACCCCAACCCCCCCAGATTAAACCTTCAGGAATTTAACATAAATGGAAAATTGCAAGGCTGCCGTATATGAGGTACAGAGACTGATAATGTGTTCTTCCTGATCCATACGTCTTAAATCACACGTTAAAGATACAATCAGGTGGCGGAAAGTTGAAGTAGATAGATTCAGGCTTAAGTTACAGCTTGATCCAGGTTTTAAGGGTACAAACTTGATACAGGTTTAGGGTACGTTTAATCTAGGTTTAAGGTACATCTTGATCCGGATTGAAGGTACAGCTTGATCCAGGTTTAAGGTACAACTTGATCCAAGTTTAAGGTACAGCTTGATCCAGATCCAAGTTTAAGGTACAGCTTAATCTAGGTTTAAGGTACATCTTGATCCGGATTAAAGGTACAGCTTGATCCAGGTTTAAGGTACAACTTGATCCAGGTTTAAGGTACAGCTTGATCCAGATCCAAGTTTAAGGTACAGCTTGATCCAGATCCAAGTTTAAGGTACAGCTTAATCTAGGTTTAAGGTACATCTTGATCCGGATTGAAGGTACAGCTTGATCCAGGTTTAAGGTACAACTTGATCCAGGTTTAGGGTACAGCTTAATCTAGGTTTAAGGTACATCTTGATCCGGGTTAAAGGTACAGCTTGGTCCAGGTTTAAGGTACAGCTTGATCCAGGTTTAAGGTACAGCTTGATCCAGATCAAAGTTTAAGGTACAGCTTGATCCAGATTTAAGGTACAGCTTGATCCAGGTTTAAGGTACAGCTTGATCCAGGTTTAAGGTACATCTTTATCCAGGTTTAAGGTACAGCTTGATCCAGGTTTAAGGTACAGCTTGATCCAGGTTTAAGGTACAGCTTGATCCAGGTTTAAGGTATAGCTTGATCCAGGTTTGAAGTACAGCTTGATCCAGCTTTAAGGTACATCTTGATCCAAATCCAAGTTTAAGGTACAGCTTGATCCAGGTTTAAGGTACAGCTTGATCCAAGTTTAAAGTACAGCTTGAAGACTGGCGAACAGGACGATAACACAGAGTGGAACAGTAAGTCAAACATGGCAGGACGGGGCCGTAGAGTTATGATTTACGGAAAGCCTTTTAGTAAGTGAAATATGGGGGGCCAGGACCGTTTTTATAGAAGTTAATTAATGGTGTTGGTTAATGGGGGTTTAAAGCAAATTTTCTACACGAAGGTTATTAACGTTGAGTGTCACCTACTTACCACCAGTCAAGAATATTTTAACATCTAAATTAGACGCACACACACACACACACACACACACACACACACACACACACACACACACACACACACACACACACACACACACACACACACACACACACATACACACACACACACACACACACACACACACACACACACACACACACACATACACACACCACACACACACACACACACACACACACACACACACACACACACAACACACACACTCAAACATAGTAAACTAATCAGTTAAAACAACATGAACTCCGATTTTTGGCCTCAGCTGAAATATCTCACCATAAAAATTGCCTTTTCTCCCTCTCAATAAAGATAGAACACAATTATTGCCGTCCATTAGCAATAAATGTTCCGTACAACATTGCAATAAATGCTGCTTTATTAATTGGCATTATGGAAATATTACTTATGAATATTGTATAGAAATTTGCCCACCAATAGCCTACTGTCATTTTATTTTCATTTTTTTTTTTCAAAAATAAAAAAAAAATAAAAAATAAAATTTTCCAAAAAATAAAAAGAATTTGCAATTCTGGAGTAATTAAATTTATATAAAAATATTTTATCCCATTTGGTCAAACGTAAAGAAGAAATAAAAATAGTTGAAATTAAAAAAAAAAAAAAAAACGTACAAGAATTAAAAAAAAAAATGAGAATTATTATAACAGTAAATTGCGCGAAAACCGTAAAAATAACCCAAAATAAACAAAAAACTTAAGTGTTGAAATGTAAACTCTTAAAACACGAGAAATGCGTAAAAAACACGAAAAATACGTAAAAACATGAGAAATACTTAAAAAAACATGAGAAATATGTAAAAAACACGAAAAATACGTAAAAAACATGAGGAAATACTTAAAAAAAACATGAGAAATACGTAAAAAAAACACGAAAAATACGTAAAAAACATGAGAAATACTTAAAAAACACGAGAAATAC